TAAAGAAGTCCATCACTCCTGATGAGGTTCAAGAGAATAACTGTGATCTTTGAGGAAGCTTGCCAAGGCTGGGCTGAAAATTGCCTAATGCCAGGGTAAGTCCTGAAGGCAGGTATATGCCATTCATCACATGAGTGTGTCTGTTTCCACCCTCCTACGCTTTTTTCCCTAAGTGATTTCATGTTGAAACCATGTCTCTCCAAGTGCAAGTACAGCCAAGAAGCTTGTGAAGGCGAGGAGATTCCATCTATTTCCAGCTAGAGGCCAACTGGAAGGACAATGCCCATGTCAAGACAACTTTACAAAGGAGAACATGTAGCACAAACTGAGATTGACAGATTTTAATTTCAGAACAGGGTCCACAGATAGAACCAGAAATATCAGACTACCTGCTTGTCTGCCCTTTCAAACTGGAGAAAAGGCAATTTAATCGGAGTCTCTGAAGCTACAAAAAAGATTAAATGAGGAAAACAGCAAGGACCAGATGGATTATCAGGCTCTTATTACAAATGCTTGGAGGATGAACTTTTACAACCTCTCCAAAATATGATGAACTCTTTATTTTAGGAGATAAAAGCCAGTGTTCTAGAAAGAGGCCAACTAACATAGCATTAATACTGAAAAAAGGACAAGATTTAACTTGCACAAAAACCTATATAGCTAGTCCTCAACTAACAACCATTATGGAGCCTTGACCACCATGGTTGTAAATTGTGATTACTACAAGACAGGTATCTCACACGACAGATCCAATTTTTTGAACTTTTCTGCGGTGGTTATTAAGCAAATCCACACTCGTTAAGCAACATTGTGGTCATTAAGCCAAACTAATGGTTTGATATGGATCTGGTTTACCCGAATATCAGAAATGCTGATTTTCGGCAAAACTGTCGTGAAACTCGGTCATATGATTGTGGGTTGCTGAAAATGGCACTCCAGATTTTGCCATGTGACCGCAGGGAGGGGTAACAATTGGAACTTTGAATCCTGGTCATAAATAGCCACAAGATAGGTCAGTCATAATTCTGAAGTCAAGTAGACTGATATCATTATTGAATAGTGATTGTAAGTTGTTTACAAAGTTTTTAGCCGATAGAGTGAAAATAATTTGACAATTTATTCGTGAAGATGTGGATATTTATTATTATTTTTTTTAAAAATTGATTTATATGCCGCCCTTCTCCGGAGACTCAGGGCGGCTTACAATGCACTAAGCAATAGCCTTCATTCTTTTGTATATTTATACAAAGTCAGCTTATTGCCCCCACAACTGGGTCCTCAATTTACCTACCTTAGAAAGGATGGAAGGCTGAGTCAACCTTGAGCCTTGGCGAGATTCAAACCTGCAGTAATTGCAGGCAGCTGGTCTTTAAAAAAATTAAGAGATAATATCAAGATCATATGAGATATTATAGAATATTTGGAACAGCATAATGAAAAACAAGCAGCATTAATGTTTTAGATGTGAAAAAGCCTTTGACAATTTGAATTGGCCCTTTATGTTTAAAGTTTTAGAAGATCAGAACTTCGGAGAGCATTTTATAAAATGGGTAAAATTGATTTATAATTCACAGAAGCAAAAAATTATTGTAAATCAAGATTTAACAAAACTTTATAGGATACAAAAGGGACAAGACTGCCCATTATTTCCCCTTTTCTTTATTTTGGTTCTTGAAGTGTTGAATAGAGATACAAAGCAAACTGAGTGGATAAGGGCGTAAAAAAAACCGAGTTGGAGATTTTGCAGACCATTTGGCACTAAAACATTAATGATAAATTAAAATAATTTGGTGCTTTAGCTCCTTTTAAGATTAATAAATAGAAGACAAAAGATATGGGGGGAAAATATAAAGTCAAACAGAATTAATCAATAAAACGGGTTTGAAGATTGAGAAAAAGTTAAAATATTTGGGTATTAATTCGACAAATATGAGTTGTATGTTGTTTCAAAATAATGACGTTAAGACATGGAATGTAGTTAAAAAGGTATGTCAGGATGGGAAAAGTTACAAATGTCACTGCTGGGGAGAATTTCTATGATTAACATTTTACCTGGAATGTTATTTATTTCAGATAATACTGTTTTGAAACTAATGTACTATTTAAAGTGGCAGAAAGACATATCTAAATTTGTGTGGCAAGCTAAAAACCATTAGATATAAGGTGTTACAAGATGTTAAAGAAAGAAGAGGCTTAGTTTTACCTGATTTGAAATTAAATTTTGCAACTTGTTGTTTAGTTTGGGTGAAAGAGTGGGCGATGCTGAGAAATCGGTGGTTACCGGATGGGCATGATTTCAGTTTTGAGTGGGGAGGCTACTTATGGGATGATAAAGTTGATGTAAATTAAGGTTAATGTAGATTTCAAAAATCACTTTAGTTAGACTTGTCATATTAAGAGTATGGAACAGATACAAACTTAGGTTGTGTTCAAAAATAACTTCATGGTTTCATCACAAGAAACATATTATAGAGTCATTGGTGCTCTCTAAGCTTGGTTGTTTTCTTGCAGACGTTTCATTATCTAACACAGGTATCTGCAACCTGTGGCTCCAGAGCTGCATGCGGCTCTTTGAGCCCTCTGCTTTGGCTCCCTGTTGGATGATCCCACCACTGGCTGGCCCCGCCCCTCGCCCTCCCCTCCAGTCACTCCTCACCTGGCCTGAGAAGGTAAGGGTAATGGCGGTGGATGGAGAAGCTGCTGGGGCAGAGACAGAGAGATACAGAGAGAGGGGGAGAGGGAGGGAGTGGGGAGGGAGGGAAGGAGAGAGAGAGAGAGATGTCAAAAGGGTTTTGTGGTTCCCACTGATTTTTAACAACCGGTTCTCTGCCCTAAGACCAGCTGGGTAGGCGTGGCTAGGGGGTAATGTGACTGGTGAAAGTGAGTGACATCAAGCTGGCCACGCCCACCAAGGTTTTGTGGCTCCTGGTGTTTTCTTTTCTGTGGGAAACGGGTCCAAATGGCTCTTTGAGTGTTTAAGGTTGCAGAGTCAGACCCCTGATCTAACATGATCCTTAGCACTGAAAATGTTACCTAGTTGGATAATGAAATGTCTACAAGCAAATAATCAAGCTTAGAGAGCTATAAAGAGCCCACAGTTCAATTCTGAACTACATATATTCTCTTCTATTGATGCATACCATAGAAGAAAAATAATAATTAAACATAATTGGTTAATCTATAGTGATAATGCAATTTTTTCCAGGGATGAAATCAAGACACAATTTGATATCAGAAGGGTTCATATGTCAAAAGTTTTCATTAGAACGATTCAAAGTATGTAAAAGAACTTTTGGTTTTGAATATGGCAAGACAGAATTTGAAACAGAATTATTTACAAAGGATGAACATTTTATTGCTAAAATGTATTAATTCTTACTGAAACTCAAAACAGAAGATGATCTATGGAGATTCTCAGTCATCTAGGTCCTGGTTGTCCCAAAGGTGCTTTTTCAAGAGGCAACTGAACTTTCTGACTTTTCTTTGAAGATGTTTTATTTATTTATTTAATTTAATTTAATTTAATTTAATTTATATACCGCCCTTCTCCCGAAGGACTCAGGGCGGTGGACAGCCAGAATTAAGAAACATATAATATAAAAGTTAAAAATAACTAAAATAAATTAAATCGATTGGCCTCCCAATTTAAAACCCCACATCTATACAATTTAAAAAACTAACCCATAAGACCTTTTAGGCTAGGCCGGCTTGGTGGAATAAAAGTCTTCAGGGCCTTACGGAAAGTACGGAGGTCTGGGATCAATCGTATTCCAGGAGGGAGCTCATTCCAGAGGGCGGGTGCCCTCACAGAGAAGGCTCTCCCCCTGGGGGCCGCCAGTCGACATTGCTTGACCGACGGCACCCTGAGGAGGCCCTCTCTGTGAGAGCGTATTGGCCGATGGGAGGTTATCGGTTGCAAAATGCGGTCTCGTAAATTCCCTGGCTCTAAGCCATGGAGCGCTTTAAAGGTGAGAATCAATACCTTGAAGCGCACCCGGACGACCACATGGGCAATGGAAGGATTTATACTGGATTCCCCACCATCCATTCAAAGCTGAATGGATTCCCCACCATCCAGTCAGAACTGAAGAAGCTTCTTGGATGAAAAGCGAAACGACTTTGAAGAAAAACCAGAAAGTCCAGTTGCCTCTTGAAAAAGAACCTTTGAGAGAAGACGAACAAGTGAAAAAGAAGGTATGATAAAATGGACTAAAAACATAATATACAAATACGGTAGATCAGTGGGAGAATATGTAGATGAAACAAATGACATTCACATTGTGCTGTAATTTTAAAGAAAATTTCATAAAGTGATGTATTGTTATTTGTCACCAGGAAAAAATTGTCTAAAGCATACAAAGGTACCTCATATGAATGCTGGAAATGTGAACAAGAGGGGACTTGTAAAAAAGTAGACATGTAAAAAAGCTAAAAAAAAAATTGGATTCAAATACAGACATTCATTCAGAAGACCTTAAAGATCTCAGAACATCTGAAACCAGAGATATTCCTTTTGGGACTAATGGACAAATATTTGTGGGGGAAAAAACTTAATGGGACTTTATTTTTACATATGATAGCAGCAAGACATTTTTATGCACACAACGATCGAAAGATTTGACATCACTTACAATGGGAAGACTTGAGGGTGAAGTTGATAGAGCTGGATGAGATAGTGAAAGTAACACCTTTGATTAGAGAAAAGACAGTAATGCTGATCAAAAACCCCTTTGGGACATTTTGCATGAAACAGGAAAAAAATGAGAATGGATTTGATAATTAGATAAAATGGTAGATCAAGTGGGTCTCAAACCTTCTCTTCACCACAGAACCCCTATAAATACCTTTTGTGGCCACGGACCCCCAAGACTTAACTCAAGATTTAAATCATAACATTTCTTCAAGCCTTCACGGACTCCCTGTGATGACATTGTGATTCCTCAGGGGTCTGTGGACCACAGGCTGAGAACCACTGTGGTAGATCATAAAGAAACAAAAGCTGTGTTGTAAAGACTTTTAATGTGAATTTATATTCGTAGCTGCTGCAAAGAAAAAGTCAGAATCACTCTTTTTGCATTTCCTTTTCTCCCTTTTTCTTTCTGCACTTTTGGCTTTGCATTCTTTTTCTCATTCTTTACCTGTTTGTTTCTCCTACCTTAATTGCTGCCAGTGTTTATCTCTACATCTGAAACCTCTCATAAAATTATCTTTTAAAAAGAGGCAACTCGATCATCCAAATGGCTTCTCTCACTCATCAACAGCTCGAAGGCATCGAGGTTTTCTGTCAGATTCCAAAGGCAAAGAGCACCAATGGTGCAAAAAACCACAAATCATTTCTCTGTCTACATAAAAGAAGAATCTGCAAAAGACTCTTAGAACAGAGTTCATTATATACTGACTCGGGCCATCAACCACCAGGCGCTTCTGCAAAATGACTTTGAGGAAGCATTTATGGTCAAGGAACACCCTTTTATTATTATTTTTTAAGACTTTTGAGGAGAGGGGCTAAAACTGCAGGCTAATTTCCCTTCAACAGTATATAGAGCATGGGGAAGCTGACAGCCAACATGGTACAGGTGAAGACTGTGCTGTAGATGGAGTTCTTCTTCATTTGGGCTTTCAACCTCCTTTCGGTGTTGCACAATTCGAGAACCACCTCTTCTGCCTCTAAAGCCTGGCTCTTCGCCTCTGAGGGAAGGCTAAGCAAACCCCTTTCCTCAGGTACGGACTGAGGTACAACTTTAACGTCCCGCACTTCACGGACCATCTGCCCTAGGTTTTTTTCCAAATTACTAAGCTGCTCCTGCAAGCTTCCGAGGAATGAGCTGATTTGTTTAGAGTAGACCAGCTGCTCCTTCACAGAAACCAAGACAGGGTCTATTTTTAGTGAGGTGCTTGATCTGTCTTTGGTCAAGGAAGCCCCTTCCCCTTCCTGCGGCGATGTCACCATTGCAAGTTGCAGGATGTTCTTCAGACTGGCAATGAGGTCACCGAGATCCTGTTTTTGGGAGCGATAGGCAGTGGCTTGATCCCGGATGGCTTCCTGAAGGCTCGCAGGGCCCTTCTGGGCCTCGAAAACTAAGGCTTTTAATTCCTGCAACCTAACTCGGTTGATGTAAGTGGAGCCCAAGACCCCAATCACGGCCCCCAACACGGAGCCAATAATGGACCAGTTCTTTGTCTTCTCAGCTCTCGTTCTCTCTTTTTCGTGACTTTCCCTCACGGCGGCAGAGAAGAGAGAGAAAGCTTCCCGCTCAGATTCTTCGGCTGTTAGGTAGTTGATCCGGTACCTTTTCTCTTCCTGTAAGAAAGCCAACAGGTCTTATGAAAAGCCATCACCCCCGCCGCAAGTTGTCAGCAGTTATGTTAAAAGCCTGAAGAGGCAGAATAAAAGAAACCCAATGCATCAGACGAGATGGAATGAAGTCGGCCCCGTTTTACCACTCCCTGATCATGTGCCTGTTTCAAGTATTTGCTAAAGTATTTAATATCAAGTATTTGATATTTGGAGGTGGGAATGAAATATCTCACCTGCTGGTTTCTGCAGGTCAAGCTGTTGAGAAACACACAAGAGGGACAATTTGTTTTGTTTTGTTTTGTTTTGTAACTATAAGGCATGCTGATCTGCCTGCATGTGCAAATCTAGACATTCACAAAATGATGCAGGCCACTGCATTACATGGTGTTGTATCACTGGTCCATCTACATTACCAATACTGACTGGCCCCAGCTTTTGGCATTAGGATTAGTGAATGGGATCTTGGATCTTGCAAGTGCTATAAAGTTTGTCTCTTAAAATGGGCACAGCCACATACACCTGAGGGATGTTTTTAAACCAGCTAAAGCCCATTTTGGAGCTTTTAACAATGGCACCAATGAACTTTACAGAAGACTCAACGATGATAAAAGAGTTTGGGGGCCCAACTGCAACCCTGGAACCTCAGAATCCCCCTTGTCAAAAATCTCTCTCTTTGCAGTTTCGCCAAGGATTGCCTGTCTGATTAACAGGGATGAGCGCAATCTGCTCCTCAGCATGATTTGCTCAAAAGTAAATTTCAAAAACTCTAATGGGATTTACCTCCTAGTAATTAATAGAATGCAGATTAGAGGCCACCATGGAAAAGGAGATGCCAGATGTTCAAGCTAGTAAAGTGTGAGGAACACAAGACATTATTGCTGAGGGATGCTGGATAATTGGGATAGACAAAGAATACCCCAAAGAAGGCAGTTCATTGAGTATAGACAAGCTTTTAGACATGTGTTGAACATGTCAAACTGTAGAATATGTTGACTCCACTGTATGATAATCACCCTCAGCCTATTTTACATAAGGCTTTTACTACAAATAACCTCCACCTCATTCCTGCCCCTGAAACAGGATGAAATCTCATTTCCTTTCAGCCTGCAATATTTTAAGCTTCCCTAAACAAGGATATGCCTCCTGAACTTAATGCAGTTTTCATGCTCTCAAGCAGGGGTGTCCAACCATGACAATTTGTGGGCTTCAAAACCTAGGATGACAACTCCTAGTCTTGTGGGCTTCAACTCCTAGGATGACAACTCCTAGTCTTGGGGGCTTCAACTCCTAGGATTCCCCAGCCAGCAAGCTAGCTGGGGAATTCTGGGAGTTGAAGTCCATAGGTTTTAAAGTTGCCAAAGTTGAATATCCCTGCATTAAGGTGAGTTTTGCAGATACTTGATTATTTGTGGCAAATGCCTCATTGTAGTACCAATGAAGTCTTTGTTTGTGGCACTGAATTTTGAAGGTGGACTTAAGGGGACAGATTGATCAGCTTTTGCTTACAGTCTTTAAAAGAAGTCATTTATAAAAAAATATAACATTACTAGCAAATAACAGGAAACCTGGAAGTCCACAAAGCCATTAGATTAAATCTACTGTGTAACAGAAGCCCAAGAGCAAAGGACTGAGGTCAGGAATAAGGCTATGCTTGGCCTCGTCCCTGTGATGACTAATTTTTCTCATCTTACAAATTTCAATAGTTGCCACTAAAAACAGAGCCTTAAATGCATCATTCTGCTCTTGGTCACAGAAGTGTGTAACCAAGAAATATAAACCAGGTTTTAGATTCCGTGCGGTTGTTTTTCTAACGTTGTGTGTAATCTAGGATGGTAGCATTTGCTTTGGGAAGTGCATTTGCTTTACGAGATGGTTGTCTTGCCCAATTTTTCCCTTTGGAAAGAGAATGCTTGTGCAAACACATCTGGGATGCTGGGAATCACCTCCCTCTGCTTGGCTAGAGAGCCATGTTAGCCAGACGATAGGAGCAAAGCCCCCTTCCTCGTTTCTCATGACCAGCCTCTCCCACGGGAGCAGGGCATAGTCCTGTGCTTTTTTTAATGCATCATGAAGCACATTTTGGAGGGAAGCAAAGGGAAGATGAAAACGGCTTCAGCAATGAATGCAAAGAGCAGAACAAACAGGCTGAAATTCAGTGAGTGCAAAAAGGCTCCCGTTTACAATGGGATTGTTGGGACCCAACTTTCCCAGACTGTTTGCTGAAGTCGCACGATTGAGTCCTGTTGTCCAATGGGCAGTGGGCAGATCAGAGGCTCTGATCATGCAATAGCTACCGTATTTTTCAGAGTATAAGATGCTCCGGACTATAAGATGCACCTACTTTTTTGGGGGGAGGAAAACAAGAAAAAAAAATCTGCCTCTGCCTCCCAGCAATTTGCCTCCTTGCAGCAAACAGCCTGCTTTAGTTTCATTTTCAGCACAGCCTGATTAGCACAAGAAAAAAAAATCTGCCTCCCAGCAATTTGCCTCCTTGCAGCAAGCAGCGGAGGCCTGCGCGGCAATAGGCAATGGCAATCCCTGCAGCCTGAAACAGTTGTGGGTGGTGAGGCCGATCCAACCAACAATCAGGTGCTTGTATTAATCAGGCTGTGCTGAAGCTGAAACGGGCTGTTTGCTGCAAAGAGGTAAATTGCTGGGAGGCAGAGGCCAAAGGGCAGGGGACGGGGGACGGGCGGGGCTACATTCGGTATATAAGACGCACCCAAATTTTCACCCTCTTTTAGGGGGGAAAAAATGTGTCTTATACTCTGAAAAATACAGTAAGCCACGTTCATAATGTGTGGTGCCATCTCAGCCACAATAAGGTACCCAATACCGTAGCTCATTTCAAGGAAGTCTATGGGGAGAAAGAAGCTGAAGAGAAGAAACTGAATCTGATACTCGAAGGTATGAGGGATTGTAGCCAGAATAAATAGATATATTCATTTAGGAAACAACCTGTTCCCTCCAAGCCTTCGCTCCAGCTCTTCCAAGCTCATCAATTCATTGCCAAATTGCAATTTTGCAAGGTGACAAAAGGGGTAGAATCTTAAAAATTTGTGGGAAATAATCATACAAATTGCATGTAAACACATTTTCAATTATGTCAAATGAAGTTTGCATCTTTGTGCTATTCAGCTTTTGGAACATGGGTTTCAGGGAGTTGTTTTGAGGACTCCAAATGGAGAGCTGGGAGGGGTTCACGCCAATTGGTATTTACTCTTGGTATGTTTGAGTAGAACTTAAACCTCACCGTGTCCCACACAGCACTCGTTTATTTCCAGCAAGCATGCTTCGCATTGCAGCTGGAGAAGTGAATGCACTTAGCAATACAGCTGGAGAAACAAGAGGAGCCCTGGATGGTTTGATCCTGGACTTCCTAGAACATCTGGCCAGCTGCTAACCGTGTTTTCCCGAAAATAAGACCTGGTCTTATTTTCTTTTGGGGCCCAAAGTAAGCACTAGGGATTATTTTCAGGGGGTGTCTTATTTCCCTCCCCCATGTACGGGAGGCCCACTTGTGCTTGCTTGTGGCCACAACAGAGCAGGAAGCCGAGCGACACGCCGGTGCTGAGGCCATGTCTTGTGGCCCGTACACGGCCTGTGCAGCTAGTAGCTAATTCAGACAGCGAGGAGGCTGGTGTGGTGCTGCGCCAGCAGCCTGTGCAGCTGGCACTCAAGTTGGACAATGAGGAGGCTGGAGAAGATGTGGTGCCATAGGCGGGGATTTAGCCAGGGCCTTCAGAACCTCCAGAAGCTCCCTTAAGTGAAGAGGACGAAGAGGAGGAGCCTCTTCTCGATGCACGGGTGTGCAGAGCTGCCAAAAGGGAGGAGTGGCTCCTCAGGAGGAGGTCTCCTCGAGAGTAAGGCTTGGGGCTAATTGGCCACTCCCTTAGCCTATTTAAGGAGGAACGCCGACTGAAGCAATTTGCAGGGAACAACTTAGTTCACATACCTTCGTGTCTTGTCTTGCTTATCAGCTTATTATCTTATCAGCTTCCTGCAAATTGCTTCTGGGCATTCTGCCAACCATAGTAAGCTTTCAGTTATTATTCTTTGAATTCTTGGCAGCTGTTAATGCAATTAATTAACAACCGTTGTTGTAAAAGACTGGTTTATTCAGTAAACTAAGGCTTGAACGGACTTTGTGTGTGCTGCGTTCTTTGGGGTCCATAGCTGGGGCAGAACACCATGAGGGGTGAAGCTGCCCCGCACCAATTTACCTCAGGGCCCCCGCAGCCAAATTATCCACGACACTTGCCTCGCCTCGGGGGCCACAGCACCAGCATACCACTCGGCCTCCTGCTGCACATAGCGGCTGATGCTGCCACCTGAAGGCAAGTATCGGGGAGTGAATGGCCTGGCTACAGGGGCCCTGAGGTAAACTAGTGTGGGGCGTATGGGGCAGCTCCACCACCACCTTACCTTGCTTCTTGGCTGTGGCACTACGAGCAATTAAATGGAATGGGTTGGCGGGCGGCTGTGCAGGCTCTTAAGTAGGGCTTATTTGGGGGTAAGGTTATATTAGGCACACACGTGAAAAACATGCTAGGTCTTATTTTTGGGATAGGTCTTATTTTCGAGGAAACATGGTACATGGGAGAGGATCCCAGACTAGATAGGAATCCTGCTTGTCTGAATGGAGTTCCAAGAAATAACATTACAGGTATTCCTCGACTTGCAACGATTTCTTTAGTGACCATTCAAAATTACAATGGCAATGGAAAAAAAAGTGAGTTATGACCATTTTTCACGCTTACGACCACTGCAGCATCCCCATGGTCAAACGATCGAACTGGCTCATATTTATGACAGTTGCAGTGTCCCAGATCACCTTTTGCGACTTTCTGGCAAGCAAAGTCCATGTGGGGAAGCCAAGTTCACAAAAAAAGTTACTAATTGAACAGTTGCAGTACTTCGCTTAACCACTGTGGCAAGAAAGGTCGTAACATGGGAAAGAAATTCAACTGTTTAACAACCGTTTTGCTTAGCAACAGAAATTT